TATATATATATATATATATATATATATATATATATATAAACACTAATAAAAATGATAAAAGCACATTACAAAATTACTAAATCGGAAACAAAAAAAAAGACAACTGAAAATATAAAATTAAATGCTAATTTAAAATATTACTAAATATTAAAAAAAAAATAATAATATTACTAACATACCCCTGGATACTAAATAATCAGGGGCATAATACTGCATGCAAGAAGACTACAGTTTTACCTTAGCAAGGAATATAGCAGCATCCATGATGGCTTTGATATGACGCAACCATCCACTGTTTTCCAGTCCAACCAGGTAATCAGTCATGGAAAGTGAACGCGTTCCCACCACTATTAGAAACAAAAAACAGATGTTGACAATCCACAAAATGAAATGAGAATGAACCAAATTCCCATACGTCAGCAGTTTCAGACCTTCCAGAAGCTTCTGCAAACTTCCTCTCATCACGTGAATATTCTCGATGCCCACAAACTGGAAGCGGATATTAGAGTAGTTGTCCTCATTCTCATAGCCTTTCCCTGCCGCACGATTCGCCAGTGCGTTTAACTACGAAAACACAAAAAGTGCTTAAGGAACCTGTTATGATCACCCAACTGGCTTGAAGAACACAACACAAACTTCACAATGTTCTACCTTAGGCCGCGTGTCCATCACATATATATATCGGCTGTTGTGATTGGCCTTGCTGATGGCCTGAAGCATGTGTTCGTCTTCTAAACAGCGAGCGCTGAAGCCAGAGAGAGGCTGACTGCACCGACACACTGCCGCCTGGAGACATGACACAAACAAATATAAATGTCCACCACCCTGAAGTACATTAGAAAAGCAGAGTAAATGAGGAATGACAGACTTAACAAGACCAATACAGATGTTGGGAGGAAGCCGCTGGCATACAGCCCTGACTTGCCAGTAAAACTACTGTTTAACATAATCAGCCTCTGTGTTGACAAGCCATTACCTGTTTACCATTCTGCTCCGTTTATCTAATACCGCACAGAAGAAACAACTAACGCCCATTACTGTGTTAACAGACATCTGCACATAAAATAGTTTTAATGAAACCTAAAGATAAAGAAAGGGTCTACATACT